CAGGTTTCTTTCAAACTTAATTTAATATAACAAAGTAATATATAGAGCTACATACATATATATGTACATATATAGAATTGGGAACGGTAGAAAATTCTGCTTTTTAAAAATTATTCGGTTGAAAATTTTGGAAAAAATTTGAAAAAATTCTTTGCAGTTAGAATTATATCGGGCCAAAATTCTATATTTTAAAATTCTGTAAGAACAAAATGATGTAGAATTAAAATTCTGGAAAGTAAGGTTCTGGATTTAAATCTATTTTGGACAAAAATGTTGTATTATTTACAAACTTTTATTTAACTTTGTGTTCTGGAATTTCGCAATCAATGGCGCAGTTCAGGATCTTGGGCATATGTTCTTGCATTTGCATATTCGATGCATTTGTAAATTTACAACAATAAAACACAAACGGTTGCAATGGTAGCAACCAAAAAATTTGCAAGCAGCCCTAATATTTCACCAAAGTCCAGATGAGCTATAGGTACGGTGACCATATTTATGAGAGCCGAATACGGGACAAAAAATAATTTTACAAATTTCTTCCACACTGTTTTCCCTGAAACAGTATCCTTATCGTAACATAACAAATTTGTAGGATAATTTCTCGATATTTTTACCCCGTAAAATTTGTTAAACAAATTCGTTAAATTTTAGTATAATAATGTGCAAGTTTAAGTAGGTAAGGTTTACCGCGAATTTTTGGCATTTTTTTTTTACGGTGTTACGCATTTTTTCATACAAAGTATGTATGTTCGACCTTTTTTCTTGAAAGAGAAGCAAGCAGCACTTTCCACTCACACTTTATTATACTCAATTCTAATGAGTTACAGAACTGCAAACAAAATTTTTTCAAAAGATTATAATTAAAAAGTTTGAAATTTTAGTGAAACATTGCGGAATTATTTTTTATAGTTTTTTATACAAATTATTATTGCAAATTTGGTATCATATGGTTTTTGTTAGGAAAAGAGCTTTACTTTCATGTATTGTACTGTATCTGTTCCTCGATTCGAATCACAGGCATTCAGATTAGAAAATAATAAATGTTTTTAAAGAAAATTACGATTATATACCATATAATGAGCTGTTAAGGCGTCGGAACACCGAATACGGGACAAACACAGGACATTAAAAGAAATACAGAATATTTGATAAATTACCAGGACAATGGGTCGAAAAAGAGGACTGTCCCGTATAATACAGGACGGATGGTCACCGTAGTATATTTTGGGATATTTTTTGGCCAATTTGAATTGTCATGAGCTAAGCTTTCGCATAAACCAACTCGCCTTTCAAATCGTTGATAAGTTTATCAAGCCGATTCTGAACAGAAACTCCCCGGCAGTTTTCTCTCCTTTTCCTTTCCTCCTATGATGAATAAAAATTCTCCGAATATCTTTTAAATTAAATGGCTCTCAAAAAAGTGTCAAACAGCTTTTTCGAAGTTCGAATTTACTCCTCCCAAGTTTTCGGAGAAAATGCTACTCCTGGGAGTTAATTATTGGGGGATATCTTTCTTGGGAGAAGAAAATTCACGGAGAACAAACTCCCCGGGATTATTAAGAATTGGCCAGTATATAACTCTGAATTTCATTTCCCAACGATGCCAAGCTTCAACATTGTTTTGTGTTTTAGAAACAGGGAAACTTGTTAACTCATCGTGCACTGACCAAAATTTTGGTGAACATTCTGGCAAAAATTTGTCTTCAAATAAATATACATTACGTACGAATATTTTTTTCCAACCACAAAGAAAAATTTCTTGTATGAACATACATCTTCATAAGTGTTATAAAACCATTGCAGTAGTCAGAGATTTCATCGTGCCATATTTCTGAAACAATTTGTAAACAAAATTATAAATTTGAACTGTCTCTAGAACCATTATTAATAATAATAATAATAATAGATAGGCGCTTACACATATGTTAGTGTTTGGCCGAGCTTCTCCTCCGATTTGTGATGTGCGGCCTTGATATTGTCACACAAGGGGGAGGGACCTACAGTTTGACGCCAACTCCGAACGGCTTTTTATGAGAAGCTGTTTTTCATGGCAGAAATACACTCAGAGGTTTGCCATTGCCTGCCTTATATATAATTTTTTTTTGCTTTTTTTTTTTCCCAAAATAAAAAAAAAAAAAAAAAAAAAAATGTTTGCAAAAGTTATGCGTTAATTTTTTAATATCTCAAAAACTATCAAAAAAAATCATATCTTTTAAAACCAAAAAGACCTCCGTGAAAATTTTAGAATCTTTTAAGAACATGCAGAGGTATGTAGTACATACTATGTACCAGCAAAAAAAACTTAGTTCAAGAAAATATTAGTTTTTGATTTATGAAATTTGAAAAATTTAGCAATTTTGCAATTTTTTGATTTTTTTCAATTATTTTTTTTTAATACATATATTTTTGTAGAATCCTCTTTAAAATGAGTCTGCTTTTGCAGCTATAATAGTTTTTGAGATATTCAAAATATTAACTGGAAAAATAGTGAATTTTTGAATTTCGCATTACTTTTGCAAACTTTTTATTTATTTTTTCTGTTAGTGGAACTTCATTGTAGGTTGAAAAAAAAAACTTCTGATCAAATTTCACCCAAATCGAAAGGCGTTGAGTCCAACCATTGATCGATTTGACACGGAATTACCCATATATATATATCGTTGACGATATGTATCTTTATTTGCTTTACGCCCTTTTTATATTTATCCATATGGCTTTCCGATTTTTCCATAGAGAATTTTACATTACAGAATTGGCTTTAATGAAACAAAGCAATTTCGGGGGCAGCAGAGAGTAAATGTGCGCTGCCTCTGGCCACGGTAACGACAGGATTCGTCTGATCTAATCCGCAAGGTGTTCATATGGCCAGCAGTTTATAATGGCTGTTATGAAACTTAGTAATACTAGTAGTTGTAATAGATCTGTTATGAAACTTAGGTTTGCCTTTTAAAGGGTGACTAGTTAGTTCCCTAGATTGCTTGGTGTCTTCTCAAAATGTGCGGGGCTTATGACTGATCGAATACCTTCTTCTTAGTCACCGTCACTTTTTACAAAATATTTACATATGCTTGTATATATTCGGTTAGACAGTAAATATGAAGCAATTCTCCCATAAACATCTTAGTTTCCGAGATATTTGTTTATATTTATTAGTAAAGATTATATAATTTACAACCCAAACTCTTAAGGATTAATATCTATTCACCATAACCAAGTCTACTGCTAGGAAAATAAAACACAGTCTTACAAATACTACGAACTTAAGTATCACATTTTATTCGTTTTTATAATACAGGTAAATACGTATTTAAGCATGTTTGTTGATAAGGAAAAATAAATCACTTGACCAATGACTTACAAGTTTATCTTTTTAGAGCCTAGACTGGCGCCAGAATAATAGTTTCCCGTTGAGATAACCACTTTTGGCGTAAGGAAGATTTCCTTAACTGAGATACATTTTAGCAGTGTCTGGATTGGTTGTCTGGATCCTGCCTGGAGTAACCAATCCTGTTGTTGGCAAGTTTTGTGTTTTGAAAAGCGTTTTCTTGATACAGCCATGACAAGCTCTAACAAGTGACAGCCAGTATTGGGTATTTTCACCAAAGCTAAACTTTTTGGACCAGAGGTAAGACTGGTTGTAGCATACAAGAATTCATCAGAGATTTTTATTTCTGCAGCTGGTGAGATTCTCTCGAAAAAACACCTTGACTTGGACACTGATCCTGGTGCTGGCTAGATATTTCTGACATTGATTTACTTGTTATCATCAGGACAAGCTCTGGCAAGCTTCGACAGTTCATTAGACGGAAGCTGTCCAGAATAATTGGACGCCCTATCTCAAAAAACTTTTCAAGAACGCCCTATCTCAGAATTCGGTTCAAAAACGCCCTATCTAATTTCAAAATGTATTGAAAATGTACTGATAAATATAGGGCGTTTTTGAAACGAATTCTGAAATAGGGCGTTCTTGAAAAGTTTTTTGAGATAGGGCATTTTCGAATTGGCGGACGAGATAGGTCGATCATCCACTCAGCAGTCCATATAAACTTAATTCATTCCAATTCGGACTTAATAAAAATATTAATATAATTATAAGAGTCAATAGTAAATTTTAAGCTAAAACTTAAAGCTCGAAAATACTTAAAACTAAATACATCACACAAATATTTATTAGTCACTACGTCACAGTCTACAAATTATTCGCAAATATTTACACAAAAAGAAATGTGTTAGCAAACAAGAACCAAAGTCGTCATAAGAAAGAAAACAAAATCAAAAATCGACCATAAAATAAAATCGAAAGTCTGTACCCACGAAACTTACGTTAAGCAAATATTTACAAAGCGATAATAGAGCGGCATCGCATAGGGATTTACGAAATTCATTAGTAAATAATACAAATAAGACATAATATAGGAATTTGTCTTACAGCCAGTGGGATCGGAGCGTACAACGGCGAGCAGCGAGGCGACGCAGAATATATAGAAGATGAGACGGGGATATGCAGTTGAAGGCATTTTGGCGCGTTGGATGCAGCTATCAATTTTTATATCAAATTTAGTTTTGGTAAATTTTCACTTCGCCAACAAATTTCACTTTTTAAAGAGTTTATCAGTTTGTGTTTTATGTTCGCGAAGCAACTTGCAAATTAATTTCAAGCACACATATTTTACGAGCAAATATTTGGCGGTAAATTCAGCTCAGTTCAATTTAATTGTTAATAAAAAATCACAAGAAAGCTATAAATCAGCGAAAAAGTGATCAGCAAGCCATACGAGACGAGTGTCAACTTTCGCTTTTGATAAGCTATCGATTGGTCGATGCTTGATATACTGCAAGCGGCTGCGCATGCGCAATCGTCAAGAAAGTATGTACGAGTATGTTAATTAAAACTGTCAAGCGCCGTTGGCAGTTGCGGAGCTTTAAACGATCGGGAGTTAAGTGTCAAGTCTTGATGATCGCAAAAATTCAACAAAGGTCCAGTGCGCCTGCCCAAGTACGAGTTGAGGCTTCCAGTTAGGTAGTGTGTTGAGCCTTTCAGTTGCCACAGTACGCGTATGCAGTGTTTTGCCTTCGTTAACTACCAAACGTTACTGTGCAACAAATTAGCTGGACTCTGACCGCTGATCAAGCTGAATTTAAAAAAAAAAAAATTCGATTCGGACGCGATCACTATTACCGTACGTGTTAATGGCCAAAAGCTAACTGAGTTGTGGGCTCACGCACGAAACGGTAGCACCTCTTAACGCCTTGGTTCAAGCTGACCAGCCACAGCCACAGCCACAGTCGCAGCTAGTGCCATAAGCGCAGTCGCTGTCATAGCCGCAAACCAGCAAGCGCTGGCCAGCAAAACAATTACAACAAGTATCACTCATTTTTAATTTATTTAATTTTTCGTATTTTTCCTATCTCTGTTTACCTGTTGTTGGTGCTGGCTATCGTACGTCGGTACTGCCACTGTCAAGATCAACACCGTCGCTGCCGACTGTCCACTTTGCTGGACAAGCATGTCTTTCGTTGGCCCGTTGTTGGCAGGTTCATTGCTTTGGTGCTCGAAGACAGCTTCCCCCTTTCGTCTGTTACATAGCCGCCAGCGATTTTGACGTGAAAACCAGTATTTTCGAATTTACTATACTCACTCATGCAAAGTTGCTTGTTTGCATTTTAATTTCTCTTAAACTATCACTTCCATTCTTCCTGAGGCTCCAACATTTTTGCCCGATCATTCAACACTTCTGGCCGGCACATTGGTCATTATGTCGCACTACTTTATGTTATTTATCTGTCTTGTTCGTTGCCTTAAAATCTATTTATCTTGTCAAGTAGGTGTGTAGTTATAGTGGTGGGGAAAAGGAAAGCATAGCTTATCAACGAAAATGACTTTAAGACTTCTTGAAATAAAACAATTTCTGGTTGAGCTGAAATTCCTTATTTCTAATCAAATTGGTAGCCCGTCTCCGTGATGGCCGAACGATGTATAACGGAAATATGAGTGGCCCTTATTTTGGCTTCGATACTCCACTTCTGTGATCTGAGCTTATCTTGCTTCAGTTTCATTCTTGTGGAGCTTATCGTCACTCAACAATCTCCCCTCATATAACTTTAGCATGAAATAACAATAGACGTTGTGATTTAAGACCACCAAATTCCCAGACAGGTTTAGGAACAGAGGAAAAGCTATACATGTACACATATACACATACATGGACCTGGGTAGGACGTCTCACATTTCTTAAAATAAAATCAAGTCAAACCATGATTTTCAGTGGAAATTGTATGAGGACAAAAGCGGATTCATATGCATTCCAGTCGCGGACGATATTCTCCTAGTTAAGTTCAAACGTTTTCTAACTGAGCCTGAGTCTCGGCATTTGTGATCGAATGAAACTCAGTGCGCGACTTCTAAGGATTTGGATAAAAGCTGAAGAGATTGAAAGTCTAGGTGACATGAATATACGTGCAGCATATTTTGCCGATGTGACATAGGGTTGCCTATTTACACGGGACTTAAATTTTAAGAAAACGTCATACATATCTTTCTTTAAAGTGCTGTATCTTGGAAACCTTACGCTGCCAAAAGCCTTGAACTAGTCTGTTTGTATGAGAATGGTTCTACTACAGGCGCTGTTGCCGATTATGGCATCCCAGTTTCTTTAGGTTTTGGTCCTGTCTATTATACGCGAATAGCAAAAACTCAAGTTTTTCTGAAGTTTCTCTCTCTTTCCACAAATCAGGAATAACCAGAATTTTGAAACTTTATGAAGTGATTTACCCCCTCTTAAATAAATTTTTTCAGTATAAGCATGCATATTCTATGAACACCAATTGCTTTGAAGGTTTTCCCCTATCGCCGAATGAAATTTCTACTCTGTCATCGCATTTCGCCTTTATTGCTTTATGGTTGAACTACTGGTTTTTTGGTGCTATTGCCTAGCTAGTAGTTATTTATGCACCCTAGGAGAGAATAATAGAGTATTCGCAATCATGAA